TGCGCACAGATGCGGCCGCCGAGCTGGACCGATTATCGCGCAGTGTGAAAAAAGAGATCGACATGTCGCAGAGTGAGTGTTGAGCCGTAGTCAACCAGGAGTAGTAACACAGACACCACAGCAAATCAGAAGCGGCAGCAGCAACAAGAGAACCACAACAACATGAAAACGTTATTTAAGCATCAAGTGAAGGGCAGAGATCATAATTTGGAACAGCTGCTGGATCATTCAATGGTCCGCAAGTTGGTGTACGGGCTTTTATCATTTTCGGGGGGCTGCTCTTAAGTTGTTAAGATCCACCGAAAATGATCAGCGCCCAGAGATTGTTCTTTATAACCACTTCAAATCTTTCTGGTACTCATTTGATGAGTCCCATAACCACTAGTGATTCTCTTTACGAGCCTGCTGCTTTATACTCAAACACTTTCGATAGGAAATTAAACAGAAAACAAAACAAAACGAAAACTAGGAATGAGAAACATAACGATGAAATAGAGTTGAGACATTCGCCACTTAATGGATTAGCTTAGAAAAAATGTTCTGAAGAAGGGATATTGTCTGCGAGGCATCTTGTACTCCTCCCAGCGCAGCTAGCTGTACTAGCCCCGCTCTGCATGTGTTTAATGGGCCTTGGCGATGGTGAAAGAGAGAGGATTATGATAATGATAATGATAACGATAATGATAAGGATAGGGATAAAGTGAAGTAGGTTTTTTTTTCGTTCGCGGGTCCACACACACATTTGTATAATAAATTATTTAAAGAGCTGTAAAATGTAATTAACAAACGGCAGACAAACGAGAGTTTCGAACAATTCACGATCCCTGCTATGAGTATGGTTTGCTCCTAGCCTGTATGTACTTTTTAATTATATTAATTATTAACACACACCCACTCACACTTGTGTTGATTCGTTAGGCGAGACGTCTACATTAGTATTTATACCCGGAGAATTCGAGGCGCTCCACCATTGTCGTGTGTACATTTTAAGTTAGCCCACGATTTGCGTTTTATTTGCTTTTGTTTCAACCCGAACACAAATCCAATCGATCCAACCAACGAAGCCCATTGTAATTAATTTTATGCCTCAATCCCTTCGATTTTAATGTAGACCTCTTTCGTTATCCGCTCCAGTAGGAAAACCGCAGTCTGTCTCCATTTTAAGCCAGTTTTTATTTAAGCCATTTTAAACGAGCGCGGACCACGAACGGTACGCATGCATGTGTCCTGATTGGGAGACCAAGCTAAAAAGGCTGGATAGCACCTCGTCCTCGTCCTCGGCCCAGGCGAAGATTACTCTATTTTACTATGATTTATATATATAATTCGAGTCGAGAAGATGCTTTCCTTTTGCCATATGTATTCCACCAAATGTATGTATGCTCTTCTCGTCGGGAGATATAATTTCCATAATTTTCCAAAATTTTTCATCATTTCCATATCCTCTCGACTTCTCTTCCTCCCGCATTCAACTCTTTGCCTCTCGCTCTTTGCCGTGTGTCGTCAGAAGCAAACACAAAAAATATAATTAACAATAAACAAAAACGAAAATATAACTGAATGATTTGTGCTACAGAAACTATTTTTATGTATAAATACAAAATAATTATATTAAATATATTGTGTAACATTATATATAAATATATGAAAAAGAAAACCCAGAGCAAATTATAAACCTTGTGCAAGCGAATTATTTAAACAAATTGATCGGTATTCGAAAACTCCCAAACAAAGAACAAAGCTAAAAAACACACACACACAAAAGTAACTTAATGTAAATTAAACAAACACAAAATATAGGCAACAAATCAGCGTCGAAAATTGCAACAAAAAGTAAAATAATTTAAATAAATTTTCCAAAAACACAAAAAATAAATCAAACAAAAGGTTGTTTCAATTGCAAGTTACTGAACTCCAAAATAATTTACATAGTAACGAAGGGGACCTAATGGTTTTATTAGTGAGGAAAGTCTCTTTTGAACAAGAGCAAATACGGCAATGCCCCATTGCAGCCAGGTATTTTCATTTTGAAAGTGATTTCCACAATCACTTTTGTGTCCCTCCCTACACTGTGCGAAATTGTGCACTACATCTGTGCTGATAACTACTTCCAGGTATGCAAAGCATTAGTAGTAGTAAATACAAATTGATCAGCGAATGGCTACTGGGTAAATAGGTCATCTAGTTGGATCTGTAGCACGTGAAAGGTAAGTGATGATGAGGAGGCAGTGGTCCCCTGGCTTAACGATTCCCCATTGGACCCAGTTCCCTTTGATTGCTTGCTCCGAGTGCATGCGTCTATCCAAGGATCCAAGGACCGAGTGGAACAGCTGGCAGCTGGCAGCTGGCTTTGCTTCCCTGCCCGTCTCTTCCAGCATTGCCTTGATGGCTCCAAGGATAACACTTGGCTTGACCTTCTCCCAGTTTGTGTGTGTGTGTGTGTTGGAGGGAGCGCGTGATAAATGATGACGCCAGTCTACCTCAATCTCTGCGCCCTTTTGGGTCCGTTGGCTTACTTATTGTTTCAGCCCGCATCCTTTGTGCCCGGCGACAGTTTTGCCAAGTTCCCCCAGCTTTTCCCTGCTGCCTCCCCCCCTGCATTTTCCCTCGCACGTGCTCATTTTCCTTATTGCCCGGCCTGACTTAGCGCCTTTTCTGCCAGCCTCGCCTTGGCTGAAAAAAAATATTGACATTGATTTTGATTTCCTTTTTGCGATTTGATGGCTTGCCTCCTTCACGTACCATATACTATGTGCCAGACCATCAACCATCTACCATTTACCATCTACTTTTTGCTTTTTGCTATGTGCCACAGAGTAACAAAGGATTCAGTGCACCAGCTGCCAAATGCCTCGGGCCAGCTGCACACTCGGATCAAAGATACTTTTCATATTAAAATTATATGAGTTTCAATACTTGCGCTATTTTTGTGTACTTTAAGTTTGTATAACTGCAAGCGCTTTAGTTAAACAGCTCAATTTATGACATATTTTAGGTAAATATATTAAATGCAGTGCAAGTGAAATGTTTATTTTCAATTCAGTGAATATATCTTTAGTACTCTGGTAATTATGACTGAATTTAAATGTAGTTCCCAATGTGCAAAACGTAACTTTCAATATGCATAATGTCAACAGTTGAAATGCATTCTGATATCTTATTTGATAAAGATTCGCCAGCTATTCAAAAAGTGTCAATCATTAAGTTTTATTGCACTTTTTTCCACTTGCGCCGCCTTTTTTGTGATGGACAACCAGTAAATTGGCAAATAATTTATGCACACACAAACGGCGCTGCATCGAATAAAATGCAAATCAAATTTTACACAATGTAATTAAGTTGCATTTTTCTCTTTTTGCTTGTTCGATACAAATCTAATAATAATTGAGCATGCCAGAGCTGTCGCTTAATCGAACTAATTGCATTTACATAAACTCTTGTGCCAAATCTTATATGCAAATAAACGTGTATAGTGTTTTGGATTGTTTAGGATGAAACGTTAAGTTTCGAAGCCATGTCTTTGCGGCTGAATCGCTAAACTAATTAATCAATTTGCGTTTGATAAGCATGCGATAATCCCACAACTAATTATAATAATATCCATACCAGCTTTTTTTCCGGCACGAACGGATCTTCCATAATGACAGCTTAATTGGAATTGGATTCCGATTCGGCATCGCTCGGGATGTGTAGATTGGCGTCTCTGGAAGGGGTAGCATGTAAAACTTTTGACAGCTGTCGAGGCCATCAAAACAACTTTGATAAAAGAGCGCCAAAAGACAGACAAACAAAGAACGAGGCAAACAAATAACAAATAAATGCGCGGCATGGCGGCATGAAAATTTATCAATCTCAAGTTTCGCAAGAAAAACAAGTGGCTGAATTAGTCATGGGCGAGAGGAGGAAAAGTCCATGGAGGAGCAAGCCATTTGCATGGCTCCGAGTATTTGGTTTTTCTCTAAATTTATTTTAAGGGATTTTTCCCATTTCTACCCCTGCTTCTTGGCATTAAAGTGTAGTTTCTAGCGCCAACAATTCGAAGCACATTTCATTAGATTGCCAAGGACATTTTCAGCCAGCCAAAGGCCGAGCAAATCGTTTCATTTAATTATTTGGTGCGGTCATCTTTTGATTGAAGTCAATTGGAATTTGCAGCTGCAATTCATTGAGAGCAGTGTTTACTTGGCTTTAATAGACTTGGCCAAGGATGCTCCAATGTCCTTGGAGCGACTGAGGCTCCTGTTTTATGCTCTTCTGCTGCGGCACCATCGCATTTGTCTGACAAATTGAGTTTCCGGACGGACACCAACTCGGAAAAAGCGCAAATAAAATCAAGTGTGTGGCCGGCAGCAAGAAATGCACCGGAACATAAATAGTCTATACAGTAATTGGGCATTTAATCCAATTTCTTAGGTACCACAAACTGCAGTCTTTCATTTATAATATGTGTTTGCTCAGTTTCGGCAATTTGCTGTGACCAGTTTCAGATTACTTTTCCGATAACTAAATTGTATTTCTCCCAGTGTGCAGGCAGCTGAAAGAAGCGGAACGCTCTAATGACTCGGTTTCCTCCTCGAATAAAGCTATTGCTTGAAGATGCCCAATTGCACATGACACTCTTTGACCACAGAGAATTTCATTTCAGCAGGCTGGGCTTCTTTATTTTCCCATTTATTGCTCGCCTTTTCTGTGTAAACTTTCGATTGTGTTCTTTTGGGTACCAAAAACGCAGTGCTGGCGGCCAACGAAAATTGTCAATTAATGCCATTAGGGCCATTGGCAATTAGTTGCCAGCCCTGTTGTGCGGAAAGTCATTTGGCATTGCTCGCATTTTTGTGTGCCATACTTTTTCACTTGCGGCTGTATTTTCAATTTTCCCATGGAAATGCATTCCCATTTATTTATCGCATTCACTTGTGTGCTTTTCACTGCGTGGCTGCTGCTTAAGACATGCAATTTGCAGATCAAATTTGAGCAATTGAAATCAGTAAACACTTTAAACATTTTTATTGTAACGTAAATATATATAATACATAAATTATGAATTCAATTGTTTACGAAAATGGTGCATACGGTGCTTCGTATTTTCTGCCTCGGTTAACATAAATAGGAATTAGAAAAAAAATTCAAAGCTCCTGGAGCTGCCTACATGGTCTCCCCAATGGGCTTGATGGTCAGCTCGTGCACCTGGACATGTGGCGGGGTGGCAATGGCGTACAGCACGCCCTGCGAGATGTCCTCGGAGTGGAGCATTCGGTCCTTGATGGCCTGCCTAATGCTGTCCGGCAGGATCTCCGTGTCCACCACGCCCGGACTGACGCTCTAAGATGTGGTCAATAGCAAAGGAAATTAGAAGAATGTTAAATGATAGTTCACCCAATTTCAATGGGCAAATGGCAGGGGAAAACACACCGTAATCTTGATGCGGGTGCCCAGGCCGAAGAACTCCTGGCGATATCCTTCGGCCAGGGCCGTGACCGCATGCTTGCTGGGCGGATAGATGTTGACGTCGGGCGCCACGCCCTCCGTGGCCGTCATGGTCTTGTGCCCGAGAATGCTATTGATGAGCACCACATGGCCGTCGAACTTGCGCTCCCGCATGGAACGCACCGCTCGCTGGGTGCACAGAACGATGCCCATGATGTTCGTCTGCAGGACCTGCTGCATTACGGCCGGATTCATGTCCAGCAGATAGCCCGATTGCAGGGTGCCGGCATTGTTGACCAGCAAATCGACGGCGCCCAGGTTCTGGATGATCCAATCGAAGGCCTCGTTCACGGAGCTCTCCTTGCCCACGTCACAGTGGAGGCCAAAAAGCTTGCCCCTCCTCTCCGCCGGCAGTTCCTTCTGCAGCTCCTTGACGCGGTCCACGCGACGGGCCAGACCCACCACCGTCATCCCGGCCAGCACCAGATCCTTGGCTATGGCCGATCCGATGCCCGAGCTGGCGCCAGTGACGACGGCCACGCGATTCTGCCAGCGTTCCATGATTTTCGCTTGGTATTCCAACGATGATTACTCGAATCTCGGCCAGAAGTTCCGCTTTTTATATCGGTGGCTTGGTTGCGTGCGCTCTTCGAACGCGTTCTAGCCGACTACACTGAGAGAAAAGTCGGCGCTAGGCAATATAATACTGAATCCACATCATTTTTATTTAAATCGCATGGTTGCAATTGTTAAAAGGTTAAAAATAGCACCGTTTTTCAGTGCATCTTGTTAGCGTGTTGAGAAATTGCCATCTCACCACTGTGACAGTCGGTCACGCCCCTTGATGCGACAAAAGGGGCGGCAGGCGTTGTATTTGCATAGTTAGCAACGTCAGTTTTTATTGTTTTTGGCCAAGCAGTTGAGTTTGGTAGTCACAAGGCGAATCTCAAGCACAAATGTTTATACAGAGGCTCGGGATAATCACACAGTGGCAAATTGGGTCTATTAATCTTATAAATGGTTTGCACCTAATTACTAAAATTTGATTTACACAACCTTTAAACTATATTACAGGGCTGTTAGGTAAATAAATGGCACAATAAGCTACATTTTTTGATTATGTGCAAGCCTTTCTTGAAGTATTTAAAACCTGTTTATCTGGAATATTTGTTGGAATTGGCTAAATCTAAATCTTTGGTAATTAGCATTCCAATTAGCCGCACGTTTGCCCATCTGGACATATATTATTGGTACACCCCAATGGATAACTTCCACATAGGCGGCCAAATAAAAATCTTACAAAATGCGGTACCCAAAATATATAATTCAACTGCACAAATAAACGTTTGATTCGATAACTGATGCGTGCATATACATATATCCATATATGTTGTGCCAGTGTAAATTCGAGAGTGGCCCTAGATTCTGTTTCGCCGTTTAGTGCCGTTGCTGTGATCCTCTAGTATATTCTCGTGCTGCCATTGTTCGTAGTGTCGGGTCCTACCAGAAGCCGCCCTTGGACGCACTGCCTCCGCCGTAGTTCATGCTCATGTCCATGCCGTTGTAGGCGCAGAAGGCTTCGCCATTGTCGATGCAGGGCTCAAATTGATTGGATCCCTGGCCATAGAATGTGGGCAGGGCTTGCGTCATGCCGGATCCCATGCCACTGGCTGGTCCGGCAAAGGGAAGCATGGTCTGTGCCGCAGCTGCTCCCTGGCCAGGCCAACTCCCTAGTCCTGCTCCCGCTCCCGAACCCAATCCTAGTCCTGCTGCTCCTGCTGCTCCTGCAGCTGCTGGTGGTGGTGGTGCTGCTGCTGCTGATGCTGCTCCGGCGGCTGCATGCTGCATGAGGTCACCCATCTGCGGATAAACGGGCGCATTCACGGGCTGGCCATTCCAGTAGGAAAAAGTGTTCGACATGTTTTGCGGTGCGACTCAATCTGAAGACTAACTAGCTAAAATTTCGAAAGCTGTTGTGGAAATCCAAGAACTCCAAAATATTAGAACAATTTTTTGTTGCTTATTTTTTTTTTGTAAGTTTTTTTTGTATGTTTTTTTTGTTTTGTGTTTTGCCCAAATAAAATCTGTACGAATTTTGTTCTGCCGAACGGTGCTAACGGTTTGAACTCTAAAGTAAAACTGATAATCTGGAGCTCCGGCTGGGGTACCTCGATTTTTCGACTTGACATTTGATTTCATGGCTATATAGATCGAAAATTTTGGAAATTCACCTCGACTGATCGCAGTTGGCCATGAAAATACATAAGATCTTAAACTGTATGCCATAGATTGCTAGATGGCAGTTCATTTGGGTTTAGCTATTCATTAAATTACTGGGAGTAGTAAAATTATTCAAGCGCATGATAAGTTACAATACTATATACGCTGAATCAGAGCTGCGCCTTAAAATATTTGATTTGATAACCTGACATGGGAATGTATATAATGGGCATAAAGTTGTGCTTCTAATTCAGGTCATTCCGTGTTATTTAGCACACAATTTTAATATTATGATAAATGACATTTCTTTTCATTTTCATTTCATCTTTTTGGTCTCGTTTCTCGTTTCTTGATTCTGGATTCTTATTTCTATGATTTCCTTTTTTTGCTTAGCCTTGTCGGAAAATAAGGGCGGTGGGCGACTGCGGGGCGTGGCGTGGCCGGCGTTGTGTTAATTTTTGAAAAAGGACGCCAACTGTGGTGATGCAGCACAGATGATAATGACGAAGACGCGGCAACAAACGATTGTCTACACGATGGGTATTAAATGGGTATTAAAGACTTAGTACCATAAACAGGAAATCATACGGTGAAAATAATCAAAAATATATATTATATCATGCCAACAGTGCTTGTAATTACCTTGCTTATTCAAACACAATTTAAACACGCTTTAAATTCGTGGAAAGTATTCAAACTCTGCTTGGGAAATAAAAATATCACATTTATGCTGTATTATACTGTTTTATTTTTGCTTACAAGTCAGCTTAAATCTTGATCTTATAATCATTTAACACGCTTTGAATCACACATGTTTGGCATTTAAATAGGGTATTTTTTAGGTTCTCACCCTCTTGGCCATTCGCATTCCACTTGCTCCTCGTGCCAAGCATAAAATGCAAAACACTTGAACTGAGTGGAAACGAAGGCGAAAGCAAAATAAGCAGCAACAAAATGTCTCATAAACCAACAGATGCAGTGAAAGAAAATGGGGGTATATATTACGAATGCACAGTATGAAAACGAAAGGTATAAGCCTTCATTGTTCTGGTTGATAAAATGAATTCAATGTTCCAGCATTGCGTATACTTAATATTCGATGTTGATATTGCGTATACGCAACGTTTACCGTATTTATTCTAACTGTTCCTCAGTAAGCCGGGAAAAAAAGGAACGCAACATGGCTGGGTGTTGATAATGATAGCAAAGACAAAAGCCCACGCCTAATGGGACACGGAATGACTGAGGGGCGATGCGATGATGAGGCGGTGGCCGGATGGCAGGAAGGCAAGATGGCAGGATGGCAGGATGGCCAGATGGTGGGATGGTTGTGATGACTGTAAGGCCGGGTGACCATCCGACTGTCATGCCCACGTCCTTGACGCGCTGCAGTGGCGACATCGTAGTTAAATTGCCTGTCCTCGGCCGGCGTCAACATTGTGTCATTGCTAGTATTAAATCAGAGCCAAACAAATGATGATACATAAGTGCGACACAAGTACGCAGAAAAAAATACGAAACAGCAGAGATTAACCGAAATGCTGGGTGGGAGAATTAAAATTACAGCACCGAGAGAAAAAACCAACGGAAATGCACGCATTTGTTGGGATTAACATAACTCGTGCCTTAACTATGATAAGCTGATAGCTTAGCTAAGCTAATTAGCTGAATACTCACTATTATTTATGACTACACACTGTGCTTTTCTACTTGAAAGGAATTTGTCTCAATATAAATTATGCTGGAATTCCTCTGCTTTTCTGCGTTTTACGCTCTCTGAGTGATCAACTGAGTTCATATTTCACCGCCTGACCTTGGGTCATTCCAAATTATGTGATGCCAACTATGTCGGATGGGCGACTGATGGCCATTGCTGTTGGGTGGGTGGAAAATGGAAATGGAAATGGCAGCGGGAAAAGCTGCAAAAGCGGGAAACAAAGAAGCCAGTGCATAGTTCATCAAGTTTGCAAACAAACGCATGCCACTGTCGGACTTCAAGGAGGCGAAGCATCTCAGTGGCAGGATGGGACTTCGACTTGGGTCAAATATGTTAGCAGTTGCATTCTGTTGTGGCTCGGAGCAGCAAACATTCGGGTGGATGGCCAAGGACAAAGGAGTGCGAGCGTCTGTATCTGCGAGTATCTCAATACAAGTCTTATTTACAGATTAGTTATCCAGCCGAAGTCAGTTGGGTCTTGAAATGAGTTATACAAATGTTTCTTTCAAAGCATTTTGCAACCTAAGACATTAGGTGGCTTTACTAAGCGAAAGCCTTATGAGTGATTGAAGCAACCCATTGATTTATATATATTTATATTATCTCAGCAAATCTCTACCACTGTATTATCGCATCTCTACAGCCGGTGGACCCACTTCCTCCTCTCTTTCTGTGCACATCTACCTATTTCTTTCTGCAGCTCTGTCTGTGCTCGCCATGGGTTTTCCTCCCATGCCATTAGCAAAAATGGGTAAATAAGCTTAGTTCAACTTTACTTCGAGTGGGGACTTCGGTGGGTGGGAGCGGGCTGGCCAATGGCGGGAGCGGGAGCGGGACGGGCATAGTTGCAGGGCAAGTGGTGGCGAAAGTGGTGAGAGCACTTGAAAAAGTGGCAAAATAATTACCGATAACACAAATGCCCAGGCACCGATTCCGAACGGTTGAACTTTTTTCCGTGTGCCCGCCATTTTTCCCGCCCCTTCCATCGCCTTTTCCCCGCCCTTCCACGTGGCTTTTCCTGCTTTTCCTGCTTTCCCCCCTCACCGCTGCGATTGCCTTCGCCTCTTGTGTTTCGCTTGTAGAACTCTGGCTTACATAAATTCAATTGTGCGCCTCTGCGAGTGTGTTTGTGTTTGGCTGTCAGTGCAGTTAGGCTAAACCGATTTGTCTCATCCCCCCTCCGCAGCACTTTCCCATTTTCCGCTCACGATCCTGAATTTCCCGCCGGCTATACTCTGCTTTTCGGAAGCTTAAGGTCAATGTTTTAATGTTATATATTAGCTACGTATAAATTTGTTATAAATTATTCAATAGAATTGATAGAACTCTTTGGTTTTGTTTTTAAAGCTACTTTAATGCATATTTTGGCGGAATTTTCGGCATCATCATGAATTAATGAAACTCTTTTTGATTTCATAGTTATTTTTATGATATGCAAATATGCCAGTGTATTCAGTCCTTCGGCGTCGGAACTTTGAGGACAGGCTTTTCACCAGTTTTTCCGAGCTCTTTTTTGTTGTTTGCACTGACCAGTTGACTTTGCTGCTCTCTGCGTCAATTGATGGCCCTCGAATGGACTGAACTCGAGCGAACTGAGTGGGGTCTTGAAGCTATAGCCTCCCGAAAAAAAATATACACGAGTATATCAAGTGTCGTTTGTCAAGTCAGGCACAACATTCGATAATGTTAATTTGCAGTGGCAAAATCCGGTGAATCCGAATATCGGGTTAGTAGTTAAGCTGGCCAGTTGCGGTGAGCCGCCTAATGACTGCCGTCTAATCACTCCGCTTCAGGGAACTTGCTTGGGCTGATTTCTGGGCTCCTTGGCACGGGGATTCCCGCCGCATCACATAGCCATGCCAATTTATTTAATATGCCGTACGTGAGCTTCCGCTTGCTGTGCTGTTCGGCCCACGTTTATGGCCACTGACTCTGATTCCCGTCCTTTTTCTTTTTTTCCTGGCCAGACTGTGCTCCCATGGCCTTGTGTGTTTTTACTTTCTCGCATTTCATTTCATTTTACTGGACGTTTTCAAATTTTTCACTTGAGTGAGCTTCGACTCACATCTTTAACGATGTGCAGGGGAAAAAAGTAAAAGCGCAAATTTACTGCAGGCACGCAGGAACAGGAAGAGGACTCCGAACTGTCCGACCATTTGTAATAACCAAAGCCTCTGGGCAGACTAGCATGTGAGGTCCTTCGCTGACCAAAGCCTATGCACTAAGTATATAAGTGGTGTTGTAGGCAGTTCTGGAAGAGCGAGCCAAATATTCATCACAGGCACTTTAAAAACAGTATGTATGTTTGGTAAATCCAATTTGCAAGACCATTGGTTGAGCAATAAATAATACATTTCATTTTTAAATGTTTTAATAAAAACATTTTACATTCATAAGTACTATATGTTGTTCCTTCATCGCACACGTGTTTAGTAAAAATCAAGAATTTTAAGTGCACTTGGTTATTAGCGATATCAAATATCCACATACAAACGCAAGAAGTGTGTGCGGCTTTCTCTGCGTGTATGCCCATGTATAATCAGCTGTTTGGGCTGTCCTGGTCTTCCGGGCAGCTTACAGTTAAAGAGGATTCCGTCAAGGACACCACGACCACGACCACGACGGCGAGTCGCAGCTCATTCGTCCTCATCGCCATCAGTCTTCGTGGTCCTGCTCAAAAACTGAACCCAACTTGCTCCAAAATCCAAGCCAAGTCCGACCTCGCCTCATATGCGAGTCTTTGTGTTTGCGCATTCAAGTGGCGTGATGCGGCAGCTGTGCCATATCCTCAGCCTCGTCCTCATCCGCATCCGCATCCGTGTCCTCTTTATCTAGTCCCCCCTGTTGGCCGGCAGCCCGCGCCGGCTTAGATCCACAGAGAAAGAAATGTCACGGCTAATCGGTGGTTGAAATGTGTCAGCATTTAAAAGCATTTACTTTGGGGCACCAAAAGGAGGAGTGCCATATTTTGATTGCTGGTCAATGATACTTAATGCATTGCAACTGCAATAATAAATGAGCCATAGGTGTATAGGTGGCTTAAATGGTTGATTAGTTTGTTGACCAGTGTATATATATATCTTTCTCGCAACGCTTTTC